ATTCAGGCTACTAGGAAGGCTGAGGTGGAAGGATCGCGGGAGCCCAGCAGGTCGAGGCTGTGGTGCTGCACTCCAGTCTGGGTGACAGAGTGAGACTCCAACTCAAAAAAAAAAAAGTCTTGATGGTATCTAAAACTAACTCACAGGTGGTTAAGCAAAAAATGTGCATCCTCCATGAATAAAGTAAACATGGGAAAATGTTAACAATTAGCAAATCTAGGGGAAAGGTATAAAGGTGTTTATTGTATGACTCCCCTATAGGCTTACAATTTTTCAAAGACTTGGAAAACGTCATTTAAAAGTTATAGATTCAAGCCGGGTGCAGTGGCTCACACCTGTAGTCCCAACACTTTAGAGACAGAGGCAAGAGGATTGCCTGTGCCCAGGGGTTTGAAACTAGTCTGGGCAACTTTGCGAGAACTCATCTCTACAAAAAAAATCAAAAATTAGCCAGACAAAGTAGCACATGCCTGTACTTCCGGCTACTAGGAAGGTTAAGACAGAAGGATCGCTGGGGCCCAGCAGGCTGATGCTAGGGTGACCATGAGTGTGCCACTGCACTCTAGCCTGGACGATAGAGTGAGATTTCAACTCAAAAATATATATAGATATATAGATACAGATATATAGATATTAGCCAGGCATGGTGGTGCATACCTGTAGTTCCAGTTACTTGGGAGGCTGAAGCAGAAGGATCCCCTGAGTCCAGCAGTCTAGGCTATGGTACCCTACCATGGGCAACAGAGTGAGACTCCAACTAAAAAAAAAATGTGTGTGTGTGTGTGTGTAAAGAAATTTAGGCCAGGCACTATGGCTCACGCCTATAATCCCAGCACTTTGGGAGACCAAGGTGAGAGGACTACCTGAGTCCATGGGTTCAAGACCAGCCTGGGCAACTTGGCAAGACCTCATCTCTACAATAAATCAAAAAATTAGCTGGGCATAGTGGCACATGCCTGCAGTTCCAGTCACTTGGAAGGCTGAGGGGGAAGGATCACCTGAGCCAGCAGGTCAAGGCTACAGTGGCTGTGAGCATGCCATTGCCCTCCAGCCTAGGTGACAGAGTGAGACTCCGACTCAAAAAAAAAAAAAAAGAAATTCAGTTCTTCAATTCAGTATACATAATACTGTTTGCAAGATTTAAAACAGTTGGGCGGCTGGGGTCGGAGGCTCAGCCTATAATCCCAGTGCTTTGGCAGGCCGAGGTGAGTATGTGGGTTCAAGACCCACCTGAGCCACTTGACGAGACCTCACCTCTACAATAAATATAAAATTAGCCCAGTGTGGTAGCGCGCACCTGTAGTTCCAGCTACTTGGAAGGCTGAGGTGGAAGGATAGCAGGAGTTCAGCAGGTCGAGGCTATGGTGGCCAGGAAGGTGCCACTGCACTCCAGTCGGGGCAACGGAGTGAGACTCCAACTCAAAAAATGAAATAAAATAAAATAGTCGTGCTTTATTTCGAGAAGTAAAAAAAAATCTAACACTTAAATTCATTCATTTATTCAGCAAGTATTTACTGAGCACTTATTATATGCCAGCCTCTATTCTGACACTGCAGTGAAGACAAAGTTCTTATTGTTACAGACTGGACATTCAAGAAAGAAATAAAAATATTAAAATACTCAATAAATATATGTACAAGTAACATAACACTAGACAGAAACTGGCTATGAAGAAAATAAAGGGTAAAGGGACAAACAGTGACTAAGGGAGTTAGTGAAAGAAACACAGAGGCCAGGTGTGGTGGCTCAGCCTGTAATCCCAGCACTTTGGAAGCTGAGGTGAGAAGACTGCCTGAGCCCGGGGGTTCGAGATCAACCTGGGCAACTTGGTGAGACCTCATCTCTACAATAAGACACAAAAACTAACCGGGCATGGTGGCGTGCATCTGTAGATCCAGCTACTTGGAAGACTGAGGCGGAAGGATCCCCTGAGCCCAGCTGGTCGATGCTGCAGTGGTCATGAGCATGCCACTGCACTCCAGCCTGGGCAACAGCGAGACACAACTCAAAAAAAAAAACCAGCCAGG